GTTAGGCTTCTCTCCTGATTTTGAATTTAAATATATGAGTAACCGTTAAAGCCACGTTATTTTGCATCTCTTTGCTGATCCAGTGCTATGCAGATCTACAATAACCAATACTAACTGCCACGTGTGTGATTACGATTGAGGATTTGAATTGTCTTCTCGTATTGCCCTCATCCTGTCACGTGTTGAACTGTGATTGCCTTAGACAAAATATGAAGCTAACATTACATGTTCTGCGATTATATAAATAATAAATAATAATAAAAATTGCAAATTTATGATGCCAACAGTTAGGTTGAGAGGTTATTCAAGCCTAATCTAAGTTATGCTGAGATCTGTTCAAACCCGCCCAAGCCCAAATTATAACCCGAGATTGCCTGCCTAAGCTCGACCCGAGTTAAACTCAAATTGCCCGAGTTACTAGAATTACTTTTTTTTTGCAGCTACATTATTAAATTATTAAAATTTGACTCTATTTACATTTTTTATATGTATATAGAAAATCATTAATGTCATCAAAACAAATAATTTATATAATGTAAGAGAGATGTTGCTATAGTAGTCTTTATAAGTTATGAGTGAAAATAAAAAAAAATAAGATTTTATGTTATTTGTATATATAATATATATGCAATATGATTTAATAATCTAAATTACTTTAATATCATGAAATGACTATATATATATATATATATGTATAATTCGGGTTTCAAGTTGCTCGAATTATTTGATATCTTTGCTCATGCTCGTCTAAATTTAATTCGGACTTCTGAATTTTTATTCAAGCCTGTACCAAATTTAAAAATATCTTATCCAAATCTTAAAAAAAAATTGAATTAGATTCAGATTATTTGAATTGAGTCCGCCCAAATTGTACCCCTACCCATAACTCATGAGTGTGGGAGACCCACAAAATTGATTGAGGCCACTAATAGACCCCACCGGGTGGCTTTTGTCAAAGGGTAATGTCAAAATATCAAATTTTTTATTAAATTAATGATTAAATATTTTAAATCGGTGTGAGATTTATAAAAGTGTAAAGTTTATATTCATATGAGATATTGAGTCATTTATTTAATAAAAATTTAAGATTTATAATTTCTTGTCGAAAATGAATAGATGCGTCCATCCGTTTCTTTCTCTCTATAGAGTATTATTATTTAAGATTAAAAATTAAATTAAAATTTTAAATTAATGATATGATAATTAATTAAAGGGTTTGGTTATGGTGTGCAACTTACACCTTACACCTTATACCTTACACTTACACCTTATACTTACACCTTTTGTAAAAAATTAAACCTTACACTTACACCTTTTTTGAGGTTGCACACCATGTGCAACCCACTAACACCTTACACCTTACACTTACACCTTACACTTACACCTTATACTTATACTTACACCTTACACTTACACTTTTTGTGTAAGTGGCACATGGTGTGCACTTGCACACTTAAGAAAACTCCTTAATTAAATTATTAAATGTAATATTTTTTAATATCAGTCCACCATATCACTTATTAATTATTAAAAAATTATTTATGTATTATTTTCTCTCAAAATATATATAGATGGTGATGGTGCCTGGCTAGTGTGTGTATCGACATATCACAGTGAGCGCGTATATATTACGGCTGAGATGGAAAGCTAAAGTATACTGCTGTTGTGGCTGCTGCCTCATATATAGAATATGTTCCCTTGCTAATTATTTTCATAGTTATCATAAAAATAAAAATAAATTTACACAAACTCACTTTTTAAATTTAATATTACATAAAAGAGATAATTATTAATTAATAGAGAAGATATAAAAGAGAGAAATAACAAATAAGAGTGATTAGTTAATTGATCATTGAGCTTGAAAAATAAATTTAATTTAGAAAAAATTATTACACTTTGGTTGAAAATTTTATAATTTTAATTATTAATATTAATATTCATAATATTTATCACTTATTGAAAATTATTTTTCTGATTCCCTCCAATATTTTATTTCCCTTTGAATTTCTACTCTATCATAAATGAATTATAATCGTAAGAAAAATGAAATATAATACATAATTTATAGAGAAATTTCAATGAATATACGGAAAAAAAATTCACAAAATTTAAACTAGTATTTCCTAGTGAGGTTTAGGATTTTTAGCTAAACGATCTAACTCTATTAAGATAGTTAAGTGTCAAAGAATAACTTTTTTTATTTACCAAAAAAATAATAATTTTTCAATGTTGGTGTTGATATATATACAATGAGTTTGTTTGTATTGTTCAAAATTATCGTATTGCCTTCTCAAGTTAGATGTCAACATTGAATGAAAGCACTTGAGTTATATCTTATAGTCGTTTATTTTTATCGTCACATAAAAGGAATAACAATTTTAACATGTCAATTTTTGTTTTCATGGTCTCTCTCTAAAATTTGAACTCACATTGGCAATTTGTTGTTGTGGACCATGCAGGACTCGAACAAGTCCAGTCCAAGGTGTTCACAAGAGTTAGCATCATGCTAAAAGTAAATTAAATGTGATTGTAATTTTCCAAGTCGGTCCAAAGTTTATCACTTGGTTTCTACATATCTGTGTGGTACCAACCTAAAGCAGGCTGACCTCTAACACCTTTTGACCTTGGCAAATTGGCATGGATGTGGATCTTAACTCAAGCCTACTTGAGTTGAGCTGGAACAAGAACCATGTCATGGTGACTCAAACCAATATTAATCGGATCAGTAACTTTTGGGAATACAAAATTAACTGTAGAATATGATCCGGGTCATACACATTGTAGAGCTCAATGTAAAAATAAAATTTAAAAAATATATATAACCCGTATTTGACTGGTTAAAAGTTCTAAATTTTTAGTTGCTAAAAGTGAATTTAAATTTTTAGATAAAATCTAAATTTTTAGAAATAAAATCTAAATTTTTAGTCGTTAAAAGTGAATTTTTAGTCGCCAAAAGTCGGGTTTTAAGTTTTCCCGACTAAATTTTTTAGTCGCCGGCTTGGTCGCTGGAAAATTGTCACCAAAGGTGTTGGCGACTAACAAACTTTTAGTCGCCCAAAAACCAAGTCTGTAGCGACTAAAATTTTCGTCGTCAAAGCTCATTTATATTTTTTAAATTATACATTTGGCGACTAAATTTTTAATCGCCAATAGTGAATTATTTTTTTTTAATTCATTCATTTGCCGACTATTTTTTTCGTAGCCAAAAGCTTATTTCAGAAAAAAAAAAAAAATTACCCTCTGCTCTTCTCAAGTTTTAAACCACCAACCTTCCACAATCTAAACCTTTACCAACACACTCTCTCCATTATGCCACAATAACATCACATGAATATATATGCAAAATATATTATTTATATAGTATATTGACCCGTATTAATATTAAACTATATATATAAACATAATTATTTTTATTCAATATAATTTATGTAAAAAATAAATTATTTATTTAAAAAAAAGGAGCCACTTTTGGTGACTAAATTTTTTTTTAGTCGCCAAAAACCTTTGTTTTGGCTACTATCAATAATTTAGTTGCTAAAAAAATTAATTTCCGCCTAAAAATAACCACTTTTGACGACTAAATTGATTTTCAATCGCCAAAGCCGACACTTTTGCCAACTAAACTCAATTTTAGTCGCCAATTGTCCACTTTTAGCTACTAAATTTTTTTTAGTAGCCAAAAACCTTTACTTTTGGCTACAAATTTTTTTTTTGTCGGTAAAACACCTACAATCGGTGACCAAACCATTTTTTAGTCACCAAAACCATTGCTTTTGGCTACTAAAATTGTTTTAGTCGCTAAAACCCATATAATCAGCGACTAAACTAATTTTTAGTCGCCAATAAGTATACATTTGGCTACTAAACTGTTTTAGTCGCCAAAAGTCTTCACTTTTGGCTACTAATTCAATTTTAGTTGCCAATTGTCCTCATTTCAGCAACGAAATTTACATTTTTGGTCGCTAAAACTGCTTTTTGTTGTAGTGAACAAACCCAACTTGAATACAATTTTAACTTCGTTAAGTTTTTAAACAAAACTTGAATAACCTACTATTTGGCTCGATAAACATATATACACTATAAAAAAACAAAACTTCTCGAGCTCGACTCATGTTCAACATGTTAAAAACTCATTCAAAATCGACTCCTTATATAAGTAAGCTAAGCTTATACATAATTTTAAAATCATTAAATTATCAAATCAAGCTTAAACATCTATTACTCAGCTCGAGTTGACTATATTTTCAACGTTAATCTCAACTAGATGTTTTGCTTCATCATTTATTAAATTTTAGGGAAAAGTTTCGAAATCAAGTAAAATGTTATTTGCAGAAATACAAGACAAATGTTAAATTGATAAAGATTGTTTGACATGAGTCGTACGCGAAAATGTAACACGCTTTTTAAAGAGTGCTTATTTGGTGTTATTACTATCAACATTAATAATGAAAATGAACGGTGAAAACAGCAGAACCACTATTTTTATTCAAATAGTACATAGTTGAGCTTGAGCATCTATGGTGGTGTTTGGTGTAGCTGTTAAAACAGATTATAGATTATAGCTTAACAGATTATAGATTATGACTTTAATCAGAAGCGGTTAATCTGTTTGGTATAGCTGTTGGATTATAGATTTAAGTTGCTGAGTAGTGTTTGTTAAATAAGCTGTGAAGTAGCTTTTTCAATTATTTTTTATTTTTTATTATTCACTATTTGTCTACATTTTTCATAAATAATAATAATAATATTTAATAGTCCATTTGAGTCTTTTTCTATTTTTAAAAAAATAAAAAATAAAAAAATCTAAGAGTATAACCGTGAATTAACATGTCCACAGCAGAAGCTGATAATCAGAAGCAAGGGGTGAGCAGCTTCTCAGAATCAGCTTTTTTGACTTAAAATAAGTTGTTAGAATCAGAAGCTGTTTGAAATAAGTTTAACCAAACAGTCCAAAATAACTTTTTAAAAGCCAGAAGCCATAAGTTGGCTTAAAAAAGCTGCACCAAACACCCCCTATCTTTTGGAATATTACCCCAAAAAAAACTTACTTTATAACATTGGATGACATCATTTTCATCTCCAAATAAAAATATATAACCTGTTACATTTTTTAAAGAGCATTGGGTTAAAATACATCCCCAAATAAAACAAAATGATTTCACTAATAATAACTAGCTTCCAAGAGCCCAAGTACACTTTATAAAACATTAGAAATATATACTACTTTTTTTCTTTGGCATACATCAAAAAATCAAAACAAAACCCAAACAAAATATAAATAAATAAATAAATAAACTGACGCAAGCAAAGAAGTCCAAAAATAAAACAAAAGATGAAAATATGAGTAAAGTTAAAAGTGCACACACAAGGTGGGAGAGGGAGGGGGAGCTTGTATCATACAAAAGAAGTTGGGAGAGGGTTGAGATTCTGATTTAGATCATTCATATAAAGATAGTTTCAGCCCCAACTCTCAAAAAAGAAAAAGAAAAAGAAATAAAAATTAAAGGCAGAAAAAAGCCAATTTTGGGGGGAAAGATCAGATCAGTAGTGGATGTGATTTGGCCATGGCATTAGAGTATCTTCTATGTCTTCTATTATTCAAGCAACCACCACACAGCAATGGTCCTTAATTTCACAAAGAAGAGGATCTAGAGGGGTGTAACACTGATGATCCTTTGGACATATATGTTGATTTTTTTTTAATAATTTGATTCCAATAGTTTTCTTTAATTAGGACCACCACACCATCATTTTCTAATTTAATTGATTCCTCCACATTTCACATGTGCCTTCTCTATCTCAAATTTGTCTAATACGTGCCTGTATATAATGCTTATTTATTTGTATAAGATGTTTATTTGGAACCCGCATTGTCGTTGTCTAGGAATAAAATAATCTGTTAAAAACCTATATAGAGAAGTTTATGAATGACATGAAATTCGATTTCTCCTTTGATTTATTCTATACACTGCACATTGTTATTAGAAAATGAGAGGGTAATTTCTGTGGAAATTGGGCCGAGCTGGGTAATGGGTCATTCTGTGGACCACAGTAAGAAGGGTTGAGTAAAAAGGGCCTTGTAATTAGTCCGGTCCAGAAGAGTTTTGGTGGTTAGCTTGGTCACCACGGTCGGCACGATGACAGTTAGCTCGGTTATACTATACTGGGCCGAAGTATGTTGAGCTTTCCTCAGAACCTTGCTGTTAGTTAGCTCGGTCCAAGTACGATGTGATCAGTCCGGTCTCGGACAACACAGTTGGAATGTCAAACAGAGGTACACACAGTGAAAGAAAGAATTGAGCTAGTGGGAGCTCGATCTAGTCTGCGGCTTTAGCATGGCCATGTTATCTTGGTCGTATTGACATCCAACCGTGGTAGAACCATCTCACTTGGTTTAAGCAGTGAGGGGGGTGTTGAAGGATAAACATGATCTTTCAGGAAGGTGATTCCTAGGAGGACTCTACGTGGAGGAGTAAGAGTCCTACTTGGATTATGCCACACGGAACCTATAAAAGCTCACAACATCACTTATGAAGAGGTAACACAACTTTGATTCTTGAATACACCAAGCTTTTGTCTATTTCTCTATTTTGCTGACTTAAGTATCGGAGAGGTATCCGGCACACAACCTCCGGCTAGCTCACGTTTGTGTTTTCAGGGAGTAAAGAGACGACGTTTGGAGGAGCGCGGACTTGATCAACAAGATTATACAAGAAGATTATTTCTTACTCGTACAATTGGCGCCATCTGTGGGAATCACAGAAAGAACAAAACCTCTTGATCAAAGTTTTCCTTGCTAGATTAGACGCAATGGCGCACAATGAAGATTTGTCGCAGTCCGCCATTGATGGGCAAACCCCAGAGGGAGGTGGGAGGCGCGAAGGTTTGCTTTCCATTCCTCCCATGGCAGATCTGGAGCCCCAGCAACAGAATCCCTAGAGGGACGCAAGGGGAAGGCGGGGTAACAGCCCCCGTCGCTTATCAAGTCCTGATAGACAGAGGCGGAGGCGGAGGATCGACCCTCAAGTTTTGGAGGATCGGGTAAAGGAGCAGGACGAGTTAATCAGGAAGATGGCGGCGGACATGGAATTAATGAAGCGCTAGATAAAAGGGAAAGGGGTGCGGCAGGAGAGGGGCGCAAAACCGATGCGCCTCCTCGCTACTCAGAAGACCGTGGTAGGCATACCACGCCATCGCAAGCAGAGAGTAGGAGCCTCAGAACAGGCGACACTCAATCAAGGACTTCCAGGACTTGTTACTCCAGGTCTGAGAGAACGAGAACATTAAGGTCCTACACTGAGGGAAGCACCTATCGGCTCTCACATACGCACCAGACGGCATCCAGGCAAACGGAGTTGCCTAGATCCTCCGACTTACGGACTGTGCTTGAAGAAAGGGCACGACTAAAGGAGGATGCCAGGGCACGCGACCCACACAGAGTTTCAGCCCTTCAGCGGTTGGCTCCTGGGACGCATGGAAGCGTCGAGGCTAGAATGCCAATATCGCACCTTGCCTACGAACCAACAGATAAAGCATTGGCAAGGCTACATAGCTTGCCGTTCTTTCCGGCGATTAAGAACGCACTCTTACCTTCAGGCTTCATCTAGCCTAAATTTACGATTTACGAGGGAAAGACTGACCCTTACATGCACCTAAGCCACTTTCGCCAGGTCATGGTGGTGTACCGGCGAAACGAGGCTTTGATGTGCATCCTATTCCTATCCAGCCTTGGCGACCTAGGTTTAACCTGGTTCGAAAGGCTACCAGAAGGCAGCATAGCCTCTTGGGAGTAATTAGCAGAGGCGTTCGTGATAAGGTTCATAACGAACACCAAGATGCCAGCAGAGATTGATCAGTTACTCTCCATCGACATGGGCGACAAGGAGACGTTGAGATCTTACAACAGCCGTTATTGGGAGACCTTCAACCAGATAGGAGATTGCCCCACAAATCTTGCCATCGCGCAGTAAAAAAGAGGTATTCCAGTCGGAAACAGGCTGAGGGACTCAATTACCATGATGTCCCCTCACAATGGAAGCCTTAATGGAGAGGGTACACCAGCACATTCGGGTGGAGAAGGATGATTCCTATGCTAAAACAAAGTCTGGTACAGCCGCAATACCAGATAAAAAGACTTTGGTAAAAGTCAACGCGGTAGAACGTCCAAAAAAGAACAGGCGAGGCAGGCGAGACAACGGAGAAGACCAAGATAAAAGATGGTTGAGAGTCCGCACTGCCATTACCACGGTATTCAAGAAACCAATCTATCGAATTCTCAACGAGATACGCGATGAACCTTTCGTCAAATGGTCAGCTAAATTGGGAAAGGCACAGAAGGACTACGACGGAAGATCTCGGTGCACCTTCCATAAGAAAAAAGGGCACCGCACTGAAAATTGCACGCCGTTGAGACAGCATCTGGAGGAGTTAGTGGCAGCTGATCACCTGGACTGGTTCATAGAAGGAGGGACGCAGCCAGCCCCCAAAACCACGATCATCTAGATGGAACACCAATTGACGCCCCACCTCAAGGCGTGATAAACGTAATACATGGGGTATTTGAGCCTGAGCGAGTATGTGAGCTCAGGGGAATGATAAAGAAGGCTCAGCACTTAAGGGAGGTATTAAGTGCGCAGCCCACCATTAAAAAGGGGAGAATAGAGGCCACGAATGTCATGACTTTTTCAGACAGAGACTTGGCAAGGATATATTGCCCTCACAATGGTGCACTAGTTGTCACTCTCCGCGTCAAGGATTACGACGTCAAGCAAATTTTGACCGACCAAGGGAGCTCATGTGAGATAATGTACTACAAAACTTTCAAACAGTTGAAACTGGAGGACAAAGACTTGGCACATGCCGTATCTCCCCTGATCAGATTCAACTCAATGCCAGAGTGGCTAGTTGGCAAGATTATCCTCCCAATCAGAGCAGGAAGCATGACAAAACAAGTGGAATTCTGGGTATTAAAAGTCCCTTCCACTTACAACATAATCTTGGGAAGGACATGGCTACGCGCCATGCGATCGGTTGCGTCAACCTACCATCAAGTAATGCGGTTCCCCAACGAAGTCGAGTAATTGAAGAGGTCTATGGAGACCAAATTATGTCCAAGCAATGCTTCGTCACAGTAAATGGCAGCCGAGCTGCCAAAGGGTTTGTTCAGATGGTGGAAGAACCTGAGAGCAATGAATTGTTTGTGGATGTTGGCAAAGCTGCTGAATAGAAGGTAGTGGAAGACTTGGTATAGGTAAGAATAGATGAAAATGACTCGAAAAAGTTCTTTTTGCTTGGTTCATCTATGTCCAGCACTGAGAGAGTAGAGGTCATGGAATTCTTGACCTCAAACATCGAAGTGTTTGCCTGGACGCCGTATGACATGCCTGGCATTAACCTAAACTTCATCTGTCACCAATTAAATGTCCACCAAACTGCAAGACCAATCATACAGCGCATTTGTAGATTAGCACTTCACCACGCCGAGATAGTGGCAGAAGAAGTGGGAAACCTTCTAGAGGTAGGAGCTATCAGAGAGGTGCACTATCCCAAGTGGATATCCAACACAGTAGTGGTGCCAAAGAAGAATGGAAAATGGCGTGTCTGTGCGGACTACAAAACAGTCAACAAGGCATGCCCAAAGGACAGCTTTCCTCTACCACGGATAGACCAACTGGTAGATCTGACGACAGAACACAACCGTCTTAGCTTTCTTGATGCCTACAGAGGTTACCATAAGATCGCTATGTATGAGCCAGACCAGGAGGTCACATCCTTTATGACGCCAAGAGGACTGTATTATTACAAGGTCATGCCCTTTGACCTTAAGAACGCAGGGACAACATTCCAACGGATGGTCACCAAGATGTTCGAACCATTGTTAGGCAGAACAATGGAAGCCTACATCGACGACATAGTGGTCAAGAGCAAGGATAAGAATGACCATCTTAGGGACCTAGGCGAGATGTTTCAGATCCTAAAGAAGCACAAGTTGCGCCTTAATGCATCCAAGTGTGCGTTCGGCGTTGGGTCTGGCAAATTCTTAGGCTTCCTGGTGACCAACCAAGGTATAGAAGTAGACCCTTCTCAAATCAAAGCAAT